GTTCGGAGAAGTAAAGCTGGCTGTCTCATGTGGCAGATTTACTCCATGTAACATCCTAAACCCTAAAAGAACCCTCTGAGCTAATATCAAATCGCCTGTTTTGTTGTCCGAGATGATCCCTTATTTCTACGCTAATGGTGAAAGGAACGTAGCGAAATTTGTGTGGTCAGAACGAAGAGCCTGTTGTTCGAATATCGCAACGTAAAATAAGTCATTAAATATGTTGCTGTTATAGCCCTTTGCTCTGGGTATTAATGAATCTTCATTACTGGCTCATGTTGTCTTGCTTTTTTTTTGGATACATTCGGAAGTAGTGGAGAGTATGCAACAAAGCTGCAAATAGTTATTTCATCAAAACAATTATATATAATGAATTACTTTATATTTGTATTATATATTTTTAAAACATACTATGCTTATAATAAATTATCTACTTCAGCTTCGGGTCAACGACACCCATCTCGATGAAGTTTAAGTCTTGTTTCCGTGATACATTGAGCAAAGGCTGAGCCCTGGTTTTGCTTCTGGACGTAAATGTAGCTTCACTATGTGCACGTTTTGTTGAACTCTCCTTTTGCTTGTAGTGGTGGAAATAGAGGTAAGAGCGAGTTACTATTTTGTTAGCAATGCAGAAAAATCAAACCTGCAGTTCGTTTTACCGTTGCAAATACGTTTTCTATAACTCATGCATGGACTAAGAAAGTATTACGATTAATTACAATAATGATTCAACTGATGTTAGAAAAAGGTGAATGAATTAAATGGCCGAAGGCATTCTCAGTTGAAGACTTTGTTACACGCGATTGACATTGAAACATTACAGTGAATACGCAACTTCAGTTGAACTGTTTTAATTGCACATGGTAAATAATAGGAGTTCAAGTGTGCAATGAGGCTTGATATAATAGCGCTGAAATATAAACATATGAAATATGAGCAGTAACACGTGCTGTTCCAGTGTAGGCTGATAGTGCGCACCTGCAAAGCGTGTATGGTCCCGGAAGAGAAAGTGGTGACGGTCGTATGGCAATCACTGTAGCAACGAGCAGCTTGGAATGGCTGTTACTGGTTGGTGGCAATTTTATCGGTTGCACTTAATGCTGTAGGAGCAAACATTGTGGCACAATAGATATATTGCTGAGGTGTGTTAGATTGAAATGAAAAGTGAGAGCAATGAATTTGAGTTGAAAACTGTTCACGGCAGGGCACATTCGCAGTTTCTATTGCAATGTTCTAAACATATCATAATTACAGTACATTATGGAACATACAACACAGTACATAATGCAACACGTCGTCCTCTAAGCACATTAATACAACTGATGAGTTGTAATGCACGTTTATGTTAAAATAATAACTTGCATGAACGCATTTGTTCATTGAGAGTGTTTAGTTGTATGAGATTGCATGGTTCATGAATGAACAATTAGTTACGAACTTACATGCACAGGCTGATATTTCAGCTTGAAGTACACAGTAAGGACTTATCACTTTCTCCTGATAGCTGGAAGATGATGTGACCATGAGTTATGCGTATGCATGTATTACTCATGTCGCTATGAG